TATATATATATATTTTTTTTTCCCTCGGTTGGTTCCCACTTGTGAGAGAATTGGCCAAAAATTTCGGCTGCAACGGTCATAAAAATCCTTTTGCCCCAAAAAATTGGTACCAGAGAGCCTCTTAATTAGTTAGTGTATTCATATTGCTTAATCAAAATCCAATTCTTAATTGGCGAATGGAATGATTCTCTCTCTCTCTAAATGCTAATGTGCTGTTTTAGTGTATGGCAAATAGAACAATTATCATACAAATTTGATTATTGTACTTTTATTTACTTTTTATGAAGTAACATGTACACTTATATAATCAATTCGCCGTGAATTATGATCGAAATAAAAAGAAAAATACAACCATCTCAACGAGTACCAAAATATAAGAGACTTTTTATATTATTGAAGGATATAATTTATCTATTTTTTAATCCACTAAATGGTGGGGCACGAAATCATTGTGCCAATTGGGCTTGTGCAATATTTATGGGACTATTCACTTGTTTCTTCGGTGTTAAAGTTTATTCCTATTCGAGGGTGGCCTAAAATTCATCATGACTCTCCTATTTTTCATTTTTATTCAGTCTACTTTTTATTTGAAAAAGGAAAATGCAATCTCTCTTGTGTGAAGCAAATTCGGCCATTGATTGAGTAGATGTCGCGGTTCATATAGTTTACAATTCATTTAATGAGTGATATGAAAGTTCTCATATTTATTGATCCACCAAAAATTATCAATTGAAAATAGTATTTTGGAGGAAGAACTAATGACTAGGTTACAAGCAAAGAAAGTCAAAGAAGTCATGGAATTACTTGATCAAGTATAGTGAATGAAACATCGATCACAATAGGTAAAAGGACAAATTTCATGTTGAGCGTCAAAGAACAAAACAAGATTGATGAACTAGGTTCAAGGAACGGACGGAGGGGTTGAGGAATACAACTATGCAACCTCACAGTTGAACCAGGCATGAGGTCGCATGCCTCCATATCCAGAGCACTATGAAGGCTGGAGAATAGCCTATGCGACCTCACGCTTTAACCTTAAGCGGCAGCAAAGTATAAATCTGGGACGCGAGTTTTTCAAATTTCGCATAATCTTCTATGTTAGTTAAGACTCTATTTTACCAATCTTATGGTATTTTTAGACTCAAATTCCGTTGTGACTAGGTTTTTATGAGTTACCTATAAATATAGTCCTTTTCATTATAAAACACAAAATTGGAGAGATACTATTGCAAGACACATTTGCTTTCAACTCGTTTTTCATTGAACTAATTTTGGAACTTATCGAGGATTAATTTCTTTTGGTGTTCAACAATTCAAGTAAAGTTTGTAAGTTTTGTAATCAGTCAAAACATCTTGGGTCTTTGGTTCAATAATTTATCCAGTCGAGCTTTTCCAAAAATTGATTCTTTGCTTTCTTGGGTTTGATCTAAATTGTTGTGGGTTCCGTATCTCTAATTACTACGTGGATTTGCATCAGTTTGATATGTAAATTTATTCTTGAGGAATAATTGGAATAACTCTAATAACTTTCAAGTGAAGTGATGTTACTTACCATGAAGAAATTGTAATTTCAAGGTGAGTCAAGTGGTATGTCGACAATTCAAGATTTGTCAAATGTATTGACAAGTGTTGCTAAAATAATGATGAAAGGGACGTAGAGATAAAGATAGACATCGCTTTCTTTGGTTCAGTTCTAAAAAGAATCGGATTGAATCTGAATTTTCAAGTATTTAGTAAGTGAAATCGTCGAGTCCAAATTGAATTAGGAACTATTCGGGTTATGGTTGGTTTCCTTCGATTCCCAAGTTCGTACAATAATTAATTTTTTAATATTTACAACAATGTGTAATTAATTTAACTAATGACATGTTCTATTTTAGCTCTTACAAAACAACATAGTCCAATTCCATGACATCTTTTGCATCCCTCTTTGTTCTTCATTGATTTGACTATTAAAATCATAAGAAGAGAAAAATGGCGAGCTCACACTAATGAAAAGAGACACAGTCGAGCTTCCAATTCGATTTCTCCATAACGTTAGAAACGACACTATAGTAGAATAAGAGATTTGGGTAATATTTAGGTCAATTTGATTAAGTTGGGTTAAGCTGAAAACTAGAAATAGGAAACTTATATTTTGGGTTAGGGTTAGGGTTAAATTAATTAGTTAGCATTTTTATTTAGAAAAAATAAAATAATTTAGCTTTTTTAAGATAAAAAAAATTACGAAAATTCGATTCTTATTCAATTTTTTGTCTAGAACCGAGAACTAAACAAAACCTG